AATAAATGATGTCATATGCATTATGACATCACATTAGAGCGGGAAAAATCCTCTGCTTCTAGCTGTCATTACTAACTAGAGTTCAAAACATTAAATGGCGCTAAAATCTTAAAAACAACGAAAAAAAGAGAATATGACGTCACAGTGACGTCATACACGAATTTCAATGCCATTTCTGAAAAGATCAGATGCCTATTCCTATATGTTCGTAATACATTTATATGCTTTAAACTCAAAAGTTTCTGAGTTATTTGAGATTTTAAAACATTTTCGAAAGTTTTGGCGGCCATTTTGAAAATCCGTGCTGCACCAACCTAAAACGACAATTTCTGTGAAAAAGTCATTAGGATTCAGCTATATCAACCCATTTCGCCTACAAAAATGCCCGTCTTCAAACTTCGATCTCAGTTGTCCCTTCCCTAATGTAAGTACACTGTATGTATCTAATATATTATAGCAACACCAAATAATCAACAATGCATTTTTTTATCAACCGATCCTTAATCAAAATGTCTAGTTTTGTCATTGAGGTATGATGTATAGAACATAATATAATGTTGTTTGTATTCAATGAAACATTTATGGCGTAAACAAAACCTGTATTTTATGGAATATGTAATATTAATGTTTTTCGTTAGGCCTAAAATGTTATATCAACTTTTTATTAGACATTTATTAATAAAACAAGATCATAATCAACTCTTGATGGCGTCGTATATTTGAGATTTTAAGTAGATTAGTAATGTTCGCCATTTAAAAATTTAATTTAAGGATGGGAAAGCGAGACTAAGTCTCAAATATACCAATGCCCTGGTTACCACAATGCGCACATCATGTCAAAGCAACAAACACTGATAACTTGGCTCAGAATGAAATTTGAATGAAATTTTCAATATTTTCATTTTACATTAAATCTTACTTACATGTTTTAGCTTTTGGTTAGAGTAAGATATACTTGTATTATTTCAATGCTCTTGTTAATTTCTATTTAGATGTTTGTTCACCCACTTCAACCATTTAGGACTCTGTATGAGCCGATCAACATCAATGAAAATATTATCGCAGTTGAAAATTGAATATGATGAGAAATTATTGGACATGAAAACCAAGATTGAGGTAAATACAGTATTAAGATAGGTTTATTATTTAATAATTGTTAAATAAAGACATGAAGGACCAATAGACTTGAATTCCTAAACTAACAACTACCATTAAAAAGTTATAATCAGAATTCAACAATTAATTTAAAAAAACAAGCATGGAAATATTAATGGGCGTCCTCACTGAAGGAATTCCGACCAGGTGTCGCTAGTACAAACTTGGTTCAACGTGACCTTATCGATGCTAAGAGAGCCGTATCGGTATTAAATTCCATATTAACGACAAAAACTAACGTTTGTCAACACACGAGTTCGTAATGAATGTACAGGAAAACTGTGCTATAAGGTAAACAATGAGGTCACGTGGAACCGCCTCGCCTATAAATTATGTCCCTTTATCTCTAGCGAGGAAGCCCATAGCACTAAAAAGGAGTACATATCATTAATGGAAATCACTTACAATATTACTCTTAAATACAAATGTTTATTATTTCCATTTAGGAATTGGACTTGAAAGCATGTGAGGGTCAAAATCCATTTATTGAGGCATCTATGGTTCATGGAGACACCACACAACGGATTTCATCCAGCAGTTCCAGTAAAGATGACATCTCTAGTAGCAAAGATAGTGATATTGATTATAGTTATACCAATGCCAGTCCAGAAATAAAAATTACATCATCAAATTCAAAATATAGTTCTTGTGAAGGAAAAGTCAGCTAAGTTGATATTCTGAGTATCAGTGACGTATCAGAAACAGAAAAGATGGATGGTAGGCCTATGTTATATAATTAGTCAAATAGGTAGCTTGCTAGAATGAAAACCGCATGCAGTTTTTTTCTTCGTATGAGAAAGTTGGATGAATTTATTACTTTCATTAGTGATGTCTTATTTTCATTTAAACGTTACTACACCTAAGGGGATAACTTTTACGTGGCGACCCAACAGCAACACGCAAATAGTTGAAGTATTAACAGACAACAAAGAGTGTTGCACTGAATCAAGCAATAATTTAACTGATTACTTTTGTCGAACAACTTTATTCTCTAAATCCTTTATACCTTCTACCATAAAAGAATGGAATAACCTTGATATAAGTAAATTAAAAACTAAAATAACTGATAAAGATAAAAATATACCACCTTGTTTCAACTTTGGCAAACGTAAAAATCAAATATTACATAGTCGTCTTCGTCTCTCTTGCAGTGACCTAAATGGGCATAAATTCTTAAGGCATATTTCGGACAGCTCTGAGTGTGATTGCGGTCATTCCTTCGAAGATAACGATCATTTTCTTTTACATTGCTCCTTACATTCAGATGCACGCAAAATATCTATAAATCTTTTACCACCGAATTTTATCAATACACATAATTTGTTATACGGTGTAAGCAGCAGTCATATTTCGATAGCAATCTTTGAAAAGGTCCACACGTTTTTTGACAGCAGCAGAAGGTTTTAAGATCAGTGTAACATCTATATCGATTAAAATGCAAACATGAACAACTGCGTAGCCAATGTGTAAATATGTATATATAAAATAAAATGTTGATGATTAAGTATTCATTTTGTTGTTTACTCACTTATTTCTTTTACATATCCATATTAATTCTTGCATTTAGGAGAGAGGTCATATAGGCTATGCCTGTTCCTCAATCCCTTTCAATTTCTGAATAAAATATTGTTTAAAAAAAAAAATCAAGTAACAATAGTCTATTTTATTGTAGTTTGGACTGTTTTCATTATGTTTTGTTTTTTGTTATTCACAGAAATATGTCCAGGTTACACTATATAGTTTGGGACAATGTTGGGAAACACATAAAAACAAGACATCATTCAACAGAAAGTCATAACAAGATGATGTTATGGACGTTGTCATATGCTGCAATAAACAGAGTGTCTACTTCTTTGTTAGATGACAAACAAGCCATTAATGCTCGTGACATCAAGATAGACAAGTTTTTACCTGATGATAATGATTTGAAAAGTATCCGAGACAGAATGGGTATAATATTACAACGAATTCATTGCAAATATATACCATGTATGAATGAGATGACATCAGTGGTTGTGAAGCACATTAAAACATGACTTCTGGTTGAAATCCACAGAAAAGTCTGATGTTGTGAGTATTTTTCTTTTTTAAATTTTCTTATTGCTTTTAGAGCAAACTTAATGAGCAAACTACAAACTACTTTCTTCAGCTTCCTGATCAAATGGGGTTTATCGTCCTACATTTTGGCGTCTTAATAAAAATTGGCATATGTTACATATAATTGGCCCATATTTATGGTCATCTAACATAATATAGTGATCTTTATAACCTTCTCTCGCAGTTGCACAGGTCCTGTTGGTTTGTCATACCACCTGATAGACGAAGCCCTTTTCCTGACTACACCAATAGGGAAAACAGCAATGGTTGCGAAAAAGCCTGAAGTTCCTCATCAGCTAACCCTGGTGAAATTTTGTTAACGATTATTAAATTGTTCATCACTTTCTGGTTCGAATCTAGGGAAAGTTAATCTTTATATTTTTTATATTCCTTATTTGTTTTGTAGATCAACCTAGGTGTCCCCCGGAGAATCCCTCCACAATTGCAGGTGTTGTGAACATATTGGAACACCTGCAGCAAAAATATGTACCAAAACAGTCAGATGAAAAATTATATCGTTTGATATGTTATGGTGGTGGTCTGTCCTGTGAACGCCACAATGATGCTCATATGGTTCGAGCAACTTGCTTAACTAGAGATAGAAGACTTGAAGGCATTCAAGAATTTCACAAAAAGATGTTAAAGTTACAGGTATCTAGTGAAGACTTTGTTTAATAGGGGTATATATTGTGTCAGATCAATGAGATAAAGGGAATTTTAGCACCAATGTTGTTAACACAAAATAAATGAATAACATCATGTTTAAACATACATTATGCAAGAGCTAAGTCTGCCTATTAAAGGTCTTTCTTCAGGCCTGAAATGTTTTTCTAAATTATTAATTCGACATTAATTAACTTATCCAGGCCATAATTAACTCTAGATGCCATCACTAGTCTGTGCTATTTTGCGAATTGGAATACATTTTGTGATGTTTGATTTAACGTCAAACTGGATAATTGAGATTTTGTTTTTTATAGTACCAAACTTAATAATGATGATCAGGGCTATCCTAAAATTCAAAAGCTAATATCCCGGTTCAGAGTGGAACAATTTGACCGAAATTTTCAGCATATCCATTTAACTATTATAGCGAGAACTGTCAACTCTTTATCTAATCTCCCATAATGCCCCTTTAATATATTGTTTTTCCAGGATATCGTGGACATTTTCTTTATTGGAAGTAGTCAATCAGAAAAAGGCACCCTGTGTCACTTGAAGAATGCCTTTGGCCACAATAACGTGAAAAAAGATGTAGGTCAGAGCTTCAATTATGCAAATGATTTTATACATTTTGCAACACATGGCTATGTAATATTGACAGCAATGCATATCCTTAATATTGAAGAGTTGGATGATGAACCTACAGGGGAATGGGACTTGTGCAATGTCATGAACGATATTGACAAGAAAAAACTACATAAACCAATTGTCAAAATAAATTCCTGAGCTTGTTTGGAAAGACGTAAACGTTAAGGACATATTGAATGCAAGTCAAGTCCAGTCCAAGAAACAGGACCGATATGATCACTGCATCTGCAAAACAGGTACTAAAAAGAAACAGATATTAATATTAGGTTCTCAGACAATCCTTATCAAAATCTTATGCAGGAGGCATGTTTTTATATTTGTGTTTTATTGTATCAAAGGATTACTACTTTGCTAATTGCTTTATATACGCATACTTTATTTGCTTCTTGGTCATAGCTAATTATTATTCATTTTTTAAGATCTTGGTGACGTTCCAGTTGTTTATTGCAACAACCAAAACTGCCAAAAAGGTGAAATCTTTCATCTGGAATGTATGGACTTGGCTGAAGATGAGGTGACTGAAGAGTGGTACTGCAGCACAGAATGTAGAAAAATAGTATCATCATGCCCATTTTGATGCAAAACAGATAAAATGGATGGAATGGTAGGCTGTGACAATCAGTCATGTAAAAAGGGTCAATGGTTTCACTTCTCCTATATAAACACAAGGGAAGAAGATGTATTTGTAAGTACATAGGCCTACAGAGAAACGCCATCAATTGTATTTATTTCTAAAATCTAACTCAAAATACATGTAGGGAAATAAATTCATTAGCTGCAAATCATATTTATGTATATTGTGCCAATCAATTTGTCACATTTAGGCCTGCATTAACTGGTGCAGTACAATAAACGTATTTGAGACAAAGAAACAGCCGCAACACCTAAGTGCTGAGCCAATATCTAAACAGGCTTCCTTTTGAAAACATGTTAAATTGAGTAAACATTTCTTATTGAAAAATATACTCAATGTATTACAGGTGTTGACTGGTTTTGTTGTGAGAAATGCAAGAAAGAACACCATACAAATGTCAAAGATCCCGACTATGCTTCCAATTATGTCAAGTCCTAGATGTTTTGTTGACTTCCTTATGTGACTTCTAGTGACGCCATTAGAGAAAATGATGGACCATTAATCATGTCACAGCGGAAATATGATTTGATCGGTTTTCATAATAGACACCATTATAAATATGTTATAAATGCCCACAGATTAATAGCATGTAAGTAGTGTGCATACAAGTCACTAGGAAAAACAAACATTCTGTTAAACTATTAAAGATACATTTCCGCGTACAAACTGGGTGATTTGATGATACATTTGGCCTAAAAACATATTCAAACTAATTAATTTATCATAAATTTGCTTCAAATCCTTCTCAAAACATTGTAATTGTCAAGGAATACCATTGCTATAAAAAATCAATCAAAAGTGGTCAAGTTTGTGTCACGTGACTGACCGGTGTGAAGTCGGAGGAGAATTCATTGCATATACAAGACAATGTTGTCTTTAAAGGCTGACTATTCATTACAAATATCGAATCCTAATTAAATTCTCAGATTATCCACTGTCCACGTCTTTTTCCGTGATTTTTATCTCAGAAAGTGTTGTACGCCTAACTCTTCATAAAGTTTATCAACATGTACATTAAGCGCCCAATCTCCGCGTGCAACCTTTGACGTCACGCGTGCAGATATTCCTAATCGTCAGACTGTCGATTAGGGGAGCCCTGACATTTTTGTCCTCTATACACTCCATGAGTGTTTTTTTTAAGGAATCCAGTAATTTTCTAGCAAGATTGGATATCTCTACTTTTCTTCATATATACCAAAATTGCCATACTTTTATGGGAAATAACCACCCGATAAATACTTTTCTGGGAACATATCTTTAAGATAAACTTTGCTGAAAGTATGAACTTAAATTTTTCCATTAAAGGCAAACGTACAGGAACCTAGGTTTTTCAAAAAAATGGCAAGAGTTTTTTTTTCCTTCATATTTTACAGCAATTAGTGGATGGCACCCGGAAAGGTTGCGGCAAGATTTAATATGGAACCGGGCTGTAAATCTTAGCGGAGGACCAGGTAGAAATCCCGAAGCAGACTTGGTTAATGAACTTCTTAATAAAGAATTTAAAGGCAAGTAATTATCTGATATCCCAACTTGTGATGGCCATGCAAGCAAGATACGCTCAATTTGTGCAAGTTATGCATAGAGCACAAGCTAAAAAAAAGCAATTTTTGTACAATCAGGGGCCATAATCTTGGAAGTTATGATACAACATTTGTCTATATCGAAAGGAACCGCAATCTTTGAATATAAACATACATCTATGTAATATCGATTCTTATGGTAAATAATTTTTAGTTTAATTTTTGTAATTAGTTTTTTCTATATTTTGTAGAATCTCTCAAAGATGCTGTAGGAAACCTCACACCAGAAACAGTAGCACGACATAGCCAGTTGGTCGGTCATATGCGGAAGGAACTAAACAGGATTTACATGGAACAAATGGCAGAAGCAAAAATTCAGAAACAGACCAAACATTATAAATCAAAATTTGATGAGGACATAAACAAATTTGTAGAAATTTTAAAAGATGAAAATTTATTTTCATCAATTCCAGGACGACAGTTCAAGTCTTTTAAAAATTTCTCTTATTCACCCAGTTCAGTGAAACCTAGTGCTCTGAATAAAAAACTGTATCAACTGTCAGCAACGTCTTGATGACTTAAACGATCTGAAGTGTGTTGAGTAGTCTAAGTTACACACTTACTTAAAAGTGAACTGTATTTTTTTTTTTGACTTGCACGTAACATTCTTGATGCCAAATTTGACCAATACCTGCAGGCATAACAGAGACTTTTGTTTTCATCAGCACCCTTTATTATCATGCTTTTGGGTCAAGGTTACATAGTTGGTTACTATAATTGGTCTTTTTTGGTGATTCAAATGTATTTTATCACTCTAAATAATATAAAATGTCATATCTTATCAACAAAATTTAGTGTTACCCAATAATACCTTCAAAGTGTGCATGATGTAATTTTACTAAATTTTTCAACATATTCCCTTTTCATTATCTATTTAGTAACTATTATAGCAAGAACTGTCAGCTCATTATTTAAATCTTACATAATGCAATTTTAATTTATTACAGGTATTTATGTATTTATGTAAAAATTATTTAAATGTACATACAGTTTGAATCAATAAACTTATATGGTATAATTAGTGTTGTACAGAATATCTGCCATCACAGGTTATATTTCAAAAAAATATTTCTACGGTATCATTTCATTCCTAGATTGCGGTATATTTTTATTTTACTTGATAAATATCATTTAATTACCTTGTAATTACTTTATTAAATTTAAAGTATTTATTTACTATTACAATATTTTATGAAGGTTATTATAATGTGTCTTTGATATGACCAAGGTTTCTTGCTGCTGTAAACATTTTTTGTTTAATGATTACTAATGATTGCAAACTTTTCATTTTTATTAAACTGTACTTATCATAATTATTATTTGATTATTGTTGATATTTTTAAAATTTGTGTTGTTTTGGGGTTTTTTTTACATCATTATATTCATGTTTTATTTATTTATTGAATATTTGAGATTCATTTTTATTTTTATAAAATGTGTTAGTCTATTTGATAGATTTTATGACTTGATATCATTTAATTAAATCTTGTATTCCTATATTAAATTTAAAATATTTATTTATTCTTAGGAGATTTTAAATATCTTATAAAGGTCAATATAAAATGTTGTTCAATATTATAGATTTTATGTTATTATTGTTCATGTATGTTGATTTAAAAAAAAACTTTAGCAAGTTTAGTCTCTTAATTGCGGTACAGCACGAATTTTCGTTTACGGTAAAATTCCATTCCTAAATTTGGAATATTGGCTGAGCGCAGTTGTGAACCGGTCTGCGCAGGCGTCAGTTTACAATGGCCGCCCCATTCAAATGAATGTTGTTTGTGTTTTTGTATCGTACAATTCTACATGAAAATAGTGTTGGATTATTATAAATTTGTGTCAGATGTGTCAGGAAATGATTCCTGTTGGTGATCAAAGAAGAATCACGGTGAAAAATAGACGGTAAGGATTCCAAAATAGCCTTAGAACCGAGATGAGGAAAAGTCTTATTTTCATACTAGGACTCTCATATTTTCCTTACTAGAGTAACTACTGAGCCAGCTGCTTGGATGGCTAGTTCCACACCTCTACAGTAGTGAACCCTCAATGGAACTAACGGATAGAGCCAAGCCCACTCTACCACAGTAATCCGCTCTACGCAGAGATCCAGTTCACCGCAGGTGTTTTCTGGTGGCAGAGGTGAGATACAGATAGACAAGCCCCAGGTGGAATCCAGATGGACAACCCGAGATATAGATCGACAAACCGGGATACAGACAAATCGGATGGATCTAGATAGCCATACTTCTTCGAGTAATTTCAGAATTGGTGATAATCAATGCAAACTGGTGTTTCCTGAGAGCAGCTACTCATTTGGATGTTAGCTCTAATATAAAATCCATAGAAGAGCCAGAGGAAGACTGCAATAAAAAGGCTTCGCGATACGGTCTCAAGGCCAAGAGCGAAACCGGTTAGTTCTGATGTACATAGCCTGATAAAGAATCCGCCAGCATCCAGAGCCAATACTGAAGAACCATTTGATGCTGTTTTACCGATCAGAAGAAAGAGTTAGTATACCAACAGCCGGATATGTTATCCAAAGGAACACAGACAATAAGCGCTATTAAATCAGCATTGGGGTGTAGTAGAAGGGAGTGTAGCAGCTACCACAGTCTGGTATTTAGTAGGACTTCCATGGTGCACTTAAGGTGTATATTATTATATCCATTTTTTATCCAGAAATAAACCCCAGAAACATCAATGTAGCTTTCTACAATGTCAGGATGTTACAAACAAATCAGCACCTACAGGACGTTGGACATTTACTGCTTAGACCGGGAAACTGAACATATTATAACACGGTGCATTCAAAATAACCATTATTCCCTCTTCCCTGTCTAAAGTATAAAAGCACATGCCAAAACCTAGCAGAATATGTATATGGTCAAACCCCTGTCTTTTATTTATTAACCAAATAACAACCAAATCGCTATGCAAATGGCTGAAAAACCTTGGATAATATTATAAACAGAATTACAAACAAACTGAAGATTAATATTATCAAATGAATATTGGTTTTGTCTACGTGTAAAGAATTATCGATAATCTAGATTCAGGTCTGACGGCGAAGAAATAATAAGAAATATCGAAGATATAGTTACAGGTCTGCATCCAGATTTACATGCAAGGGTTGTTTCTCGTATACCAGTATGACGAAGTTGCACGGTAAAGTCTAAAAATTAGAGCCAACTGCAGATTTCGCCAAGGTCGCGAGATGTAAACAGGGCTAGGGCACGTGATTGTTGACGAGATTATGGGTAAGTGTTAGGCTACCCCTGTTTACATCTCGTGAGCTTTGACCAAATCTTCAGTTGACCTTAATTGTTTTTACTTCAGGTTAATTTGGAACGAAGTGGTTTCTATCCCCTAAAACACACTTTCCCCCCTCACACCCCACACATTGGGAATCTTATACACATATTTAGAGATGTGCAGCGGCATTAAAAAGTAATGTTTTACCAAGCTCTAAGAAAATCATCATTTATATCAACGTGAACTCATTTCCCTCCAATCCCCCCCCCCTCCTTTTCCACACAAGCACACCTGCAACCCCACACCCTACCTCCCCACAAATCAAAACAGTTGTCCAGGGGCATCATATACACTTATTTAGAGATGGACAGTCCTAGAAATTTATGTTATATTAATATATAACATGATCATCATTTACGTCAACATAATCACATTTCCCCTCTAATGTAGACATTGGACCCCCCCCCCCCCCATATCTCTCAAACGCCCTCTCAAACGCCTGATCACCACCCAGATTCGGAATCTACGCAAAAAAAATGGTCAAAAAACTTTGTCTCATAAATTCACGGCTCGAGTGGCAATTCCCCCTCCCCCGTTCAGCCACCGGACTAATTGGAGCATTATTTGCCTTAATTCTATAAATTTGGGTATAAACTATTCCTTATACAGCGATCCGGTTTAATGAAGCGATATCAGATTTACAATTTTCACAAATGCAAGATAATGACAAATGGATTGAAGGAGTCCCATCGCATTTCGCGCAACTGAGATTTTTTGTGGGCGGCTCTCTGATGGGGAGGGGGGCCATCAACAAGATAGCCATAGACAGAAGCCTACCCGGACACATAATATATCTCTGGAAGACTGAAAATTAGCTGGGTTCATCTTTTACGACCACAGTTCGTCACACCATATTTAACAATCAATAGGTTCATCCTCTCAAAGTCCTTATGTTTCACACAAAATTTGAAAGGAGATTCATGAAAATCTGTTCATTGAATATTGGACATAACTGCGACACGCCCTCTCATGACTCCAATGCTTCACACCTAATTTGAAAATAATCTGTAAAAGAAACTAGCTGCAAAGCATTCAGAAAAGAAGCCGTAACTCCTGACCATAGTGCTTAACGCCAAATTTAAAATACAAAATCCATTCACACTGTTCACAAGGTTTGTGATCTGTATTATTATAACCACAAAGATCCCAACATGTGACAATTATCTGATAGAAATATTGAAGGTGTAAATGTATTTGAACCGTTTATTTAAAAACTCATCGCAAGTTAAGGCGAGTAGGGACTGGGTAATAATACCATGTGGCCTGAACTAAAATTCCGTCAAATATATAAATCCCCATTTCTCATAGAAATAATGCATAATCACATCACAAGAAGAAAAAAAACATATAACTCACCAATCATTATGTCCCACTTCCGATGTATTGCTCGGTATGTGTATTGTATTTACTTTTTTTTATCTATTGTTTAACTTACATATCTTACTGACCCATTCTAAAAAGTCTACGCATAATCCAACAAGCGCTAGCCATGCAAGATACGCACATCTTATTTTGCAATAATGGGTCTAAGACATAGAAAATGAACCCATCCTCTTAGTATCCCAATACTTACAAGGACACTGTTAAGAACTGTAGCCTCTATCGTGTTCATAAGGTTTTAGGAAATGAAGGCCATGGAACGTAGAATGTCGACAGAATTCGTCCCCTTATGACCTAAAGGCTTCGGACCAAACTTCGGCCCCTGTTGTTTTGGGCAATTCATAACGATGACTTCCAGGGTTATGACCACTGATTACGAAAATTTTACCATTTTAGAGACAATAATATTATCATTGCATCAATATGTATGTTTAGCATATACACTATATTGGTTAATATAGAACAAACAGAATTGGATCTGTACGAAATTTAAATAATATGTGAGATTGGTAAAATATACCCTCCGCCCCCTCCTCCTTCCCTGATACCCACAATTGTGTGTGTGGAAATACGTCTGCACAGCAGCTATGTTGCGAAAGCAGCTTGTCCAAGATAAAAAAAAAAGCTTGCTGTTGACCAAATTTGATAAGGAAATCTTTTACTGTGGTCACGGGATTTCGAAAAAAAAAGGTGGGGGCGTCATAACTTTGGAACGGCATGTCGTGGTACGTTAAATATCGATAAGGTACGTCCTCTTATACATGTAGCTCCAATGTTTCACACCTAATTAAAAATGTCCGATAAAAAAAACTGTAGCCTCTGTCGTGTTC